GGAGGACAATGTTGTCGTTATCACGGCGCACGAGCAAACACAACGCACAGTGGACGACTGGATGACGGCAGAATGCATCCCATTCAATATGATGCGGAGCGAGTACTGGGACAGAATGGTGCATGCACTCATGAATGTGCCCAAAGGATTCCGGTACGCGAAATTGGAGAGTGCAAGGACAAAGAGGGTTGAAGTGACGAGGGGGAGGGTCACGATGAGGGTGGAGGAGCTGCGGCAGGAGTGGCCAACCACTGGTTGTATGTTGCAGCTTGATGAATGGACAGATCGCCGACAAAGACCACACATCAATGTGATGGTCTCCTTTCCGAAGGGCTCTATCTTCTGGCGAAGTGTGTGCATGTCAGGGTGCAACAAAGGCGCCTCGACATACTATGGTATTTTGAAGAGGGCGATAGAGGAGATAGGTGCGGAGGCAGTGATGGGGGTCGTTATGGACAATGTTGCCGTTTGTGCACCTGCGGGGCGAATGGAGGAAGCGGATCACCCGCACATCTTCTCGGTCCCATGCACAACTCACTCGCTCGACCTCATTTTCGAGTCTTTCACGAAGATCACGTTTGTGGGCGAAGTTATTAAAAGGGCGTCGGAGGTAGCAAAGTTCTTCACGAACCTTTCGCGGGTGCGGGATCTCCTCCTCTACTCCAATGGCAGCGTCATGGCAAAACCGGGTGCGACCCGGTTTGCCACGAACTTCATCATGTTGTCGAGCCTACAGGGGTTGTACTTGCCGCTGCGAGCGTGTTTGATGGATGATGATTGGAAGCCAGCGATTGTGCACACTTCGCAACACGAATTGTTTGTAAGGGTGACACATGCCATCTTCGACGACACCTTCTGGGCAGTTATCGAGAAGGTGATGCAAACGTCCAAGAACCTCCTCAAGCTTCTGAAGAAGGTCGACGGTGCGGACCCCACCATCAATAAGGTGTACGCCCGTATGGACAGCGCTGTGGAGAAACATAGGGAGAGCAAGCATTTCACGGAAGCAGAAAAGGATGAGCTAGAGGCTATAATAATGCGGCGCTGGAATACAACGACTTCACCATAGCATTGTGCTGCGCTGTTATTGGATCCAGAGTACAGAGCGTCACGGCCGGAATCCGATGCAGAGATTGTGGACGGGTTTTGGACATGGCTTTACTCGTGGTGCAAGGAGGCTGCGTATAGGGAGGTCGACGCGGAGGTCTGTTCTTGGATTGAGGCCACCGGGAGGCACGCTACCGAAAATGTAAGGACACAAGCCCGTACGATGCAGCCGGCGAGGTGGTGGCAGAAGTGGTGCAGCGACATGCCCATCTTCCAAAAGCAAGTCGTTCGGCTCCTTGGACAAGGCTCCTCCTCCTCTAGTTGCGAAAGGAATTGGAGCTTGTTTGAACGGATTCACAGCCGTCTCCGCAACAATCTTGGTGCCGTCAAGCTAAGCACGCTGGTTTTCAACAGATGAAACCAACACTTGTTGGACTTCTTGACCAAGAAACCGAAGGCTGACGATGCGACGAAGTGGGAAGAGGATGAGTTGGTGGAAAATCTCACATGAGATGAGATGGCATCGGATGCACGCCTGCTGTTGGGGGAGTGGCGTGCCCGCTTGCACGGAACACATTCGGTCCACGACGAAGGTGAGAATGACGGCTCGGGCTCCGACGAGGAGGACATTCCTGTCCAAGCGCAACAAACGGCTGTTGCGAAGGAGGTCACAGTTCAACATCGTCGGCTGCGCAGCGAGTTGTTCGAGCTCGAGAGGGAGCTCAAGGAGTCGTGGAGGAAGGCAACGAAAGCTTCCAAGTTTTTGGCCCGGCAGCATTTGCATGACTTGGATCAGGCTACCAGGACCATGACCCTCGAGCATGCCAACAAGTACAAAGTTGCACGGGCTGCTGCATGTGCACCACCCTCCGTACCCGCCAAATGAGGGAAAGGGAGACCTCGAAAGGACGCTGCGACTCATGGGGGGACATGTGACGAGGAAGTTGAGAATGCAGAAGGTGAAGATTTGAAAGGGGTTGATGCACCCACACGTGCGAAAAGAAAGCGGGGACGACCATGGAAGGCGCCCGTGGAAGAGGAGGAGGCTGGAAATGGAAGGGGGACACGGAAGCGGGGACGTTTGCAGGTGCAGCCCGCCGAAGAGGAGGAGGAAGCAGTGCTTGAACAAACGAGCAGTGCTGACAAACATGGCAGCCAACAGCAGCGATGAAAGCGGGGCTGAGCATAATGAAAATGACGGGAGCGGCGGCACAGAGGTGCGCGTGATGGCAGCGACAACAGCGATGAAAGCGGAGGTGGCCGTGACAGCAGTGATGGCGGCGAGAAAGATGGAAGGTCGTCGAAGGAAGAGGACGACTCTAAATGCGAAGGCCACTAGGGAGATGGGAGTTCGTCGAAGGCAGAGGACGACTCCGACTTACAGTGCAGTCAGACATCGCGCTGAAGAGAGAGAGAGAGAGAGAGAGAGAGAGAGAGAGAGAGAGAGAGAGAG